AGTTAGTTTGCAAATTGAAGAAGAGCTTGTATGGATTGAAGCAAGCACCGAGGCAGTGGTACAGAAAATTCGATGCTTTCATGAGTGAGAATGGGTATTCAAGAACCACTTCAGACCATTGTGTGTTTGTGAAGAAATATAAAGATGGTAATTTTATTATTCTCTTGCTTTACGTTGATGATATGCTTATTGTGGGCCAAGACACGAGTAAGATTAGCAAGTTGAAGTCAGAGTTGAGTAAGTCCTTTGCCATGAAGGATTTGGGTCCAGCAAAGCAAATTCTTGGGATGAGAATTGTTCGTGACAGATCACATGGGCTGATTTGGTTATCTCAAGAGAATTATATTAAAAAGGTTCTTGAGAGGTTCAATATGGACAAAGCAAAGCCTGTTAATTGTCCACTTGCAGGCCACTTCAAACTAAGCTCAAGTCAGTGTCCTACAAGTGATGAAAAGAAAAATGAGATGCAGAAAATTCCCTATGCTTCAGCAGTTGGTTCTTTGATGTACGCCATGGTTTGTACTCGACCGGATATTGCTCACGCAGTTGGGGTTGTCAGTCGATTTTTGTCTAATCCAGGGAAAGAACACTGGGCAGCAGTGAAATGGATTATGAGGTATCTTCAGGGCACTTCAAAGATGAGTTTGTGTTTTGGTAAAGGCGAGCCTATTCTTGATGGGTTCACAGATTCTGATATGGCTGGTGATGTTGATAGTCGAAAATCTACTTCTGGTTATTTGATTACTTTTGCAGGGGGAGCAGTGGCATGGCAATCAAGATTACAGAAATGTGTTGCTCTCTCCACCACAGAAGCTGAGTTCATCGCCATCACTGAAGCTTGCAAAGAATTATTGTGGTTGAAGGAATTCTTACAAGAGTTGGGTTTGAAACAAGAAAGGTATGTCCTTCATTGTGATAGTCAGAGTGCAATCCACTTGAGCAAGAATTCTTCATTTCATTCGAGATCGAAACATATTGATGTTAGATATCATTGGATTCGTGATGTCTTGAATGATAAGTTGTTACAACTTGAAAAAATTCACACTGATGATAACACTTCGGATATGTTAACTAAGACATTGACTAAGGACAAGCATGAGAAGTGTCGACTTTTGGCGGGAATGGTCGAATCCTCCACATAAGTCGGGAGGGGGAGAATTGTTGGGTTTCCCTCCTTTGTGGGACTCATCAATTTGCTAATTTTTTGGTGGCTTACCCGTGTAGGACTCTTATCCAAGACTTGGTTTGGAGTCTTCTAGTTAAAAAGGAATTTGGCAGCCACCAAAGACTATAAGTTTTGTCCTTTTCTTTGGTTTATCTTTTCTCTGTTGGTTTGGCAAGAAGACATATTTTCGGCAGTCTTTGGTTCAACAAAAATTCAGCCTTCTTCTTCTCCTTTTTGGTGCCAGAAAAATCTGCAAATTTGTTCTTCAAGTGGGTAACATTTCTTCACTTGATATTTGGGTTTCTTGCGGTTTGTTCTTGGAGATTTGGTTCACTTATTTTGTGAGGTATTTTCCTCTTGTGATTTACACCTTGGTGTGTTTGTAAGGCTTATGCCTTTTGGCCACTTTGTAATCTGATTTGGTGATAGTGGAAGAAACTGACCTACCGGTCGTCGTGGATGTACCTCAAGTTATTTGAGGGAACCACGTAAATCTTGTGTGCTTATTTATTTTCTGTTATTTTATTTATATTGCTTCCATTGATTTACACTTGTGGGAAAGTCTATTTTCCCAACAGATCCATCAAGAAAATTTGCAAACACATGGAGCAATAAGTTCGGTTGAAGACCCATTACAACTACAAAGCAGTAACTTGTACTCAATTGACCAACACTAAAATAGACTTAACAAGGCGCGGTAAACTGTGTCCCCATCCACAAGCAATGGCAGCAGCTATTTGAAACCATGTGCTGAAAATGTGCATATCCAAGAAATAGAACCAGTAGGCCCTCACCTCTTTTTCTCTCAAAGGAGATACTCAATGGCGTGGAAAGCTAAGTCAAGGTTGTCCAAGAAGTAATCAAATAGAATTGGTGGATAAGTTGGGCACTGGGAATGGGTGGGGTGAGATAATCCAGAAGGACTCAAGCGAAGGGAAGGATATTCACCATGAAAGCCCTAGAGAGAGGTTTCTCTTTCTAGATCTAGAGAGATAGGCTCTCCCCCCAGTCTATCTTTGTAAGTTTCAATGTTTTACGAAAGAGTAATACTAAACAGACTTAAAATATAGACTTAATGATGTAGCTGTCTTTCAAGAGCTTCGATCAAGATTTGGAGTAAAGAATTGCTTCGATCAAGCTTCTCCTCTCCTCCTTACCTCTTCGCTAGAGTAGACAATCGTTCAAAGCATTTGGAGTAAACAATTGCTTCGATTAAGATTTTTGTAAGTGTCCCCATCTCTTTTTTTTTCCTTTGTTGCTTTATTGTTACAACATATTGCTTTTTTGTTATGAATTTCTCAAGCCTAGATTTTTAACTAAAGATTAATTATGTCTATTGTTTTAGGATGTCTTAAATGTGAATTCATTGAAGAACTGATTTTCTTATAAGTTTATTGCATCCTTTTACTTTTTAATATTCTATCCATTTATTTTTGTTGGGGATTTTGGAGCATAAACATATTATTTTTCTTGTGATGTTCAGGCATATATTGTGGTTAAGAAATCTTTGATTAATCAAAGAGGCACTTGATGGGGTTAATTTTTTTTAGAATGGAAGGAGAATGTTCAAGTAGTTTGCAAATGATTGATAAAAATGTTGAGACTAAAATACAGAATGTGGCCGACGTAGATGAGTCTAAGGTTGGGATGATGTTTGAAAGTGAAAAAGAATTGTTTGACTACTACACAAATTATAGCAAGCAATTGGGGTTCCCAGTTAAGATAAGATCATTAGCAAAAAGAGATGATGGTGAGTTGAAATATTTGACGATTTGTTGTTCTCAATCAAGAACGTTCGAGTGCAATTCCAAAAATCCTTTCAAACCGCGTCCAAGCATCAGAACAAGTTATAAGGCTAAGGTCCTAGTAATTTTATGTGCTGATAGAAAGTTGCGACTAAACACTATCATGCTTGATCATAACCATGAGGTGAGTCCAAGCAAAGCTCAATTCTTTCATTGCAATCGAGTGATGGGACCAAATGCAAAAAAAAAAGCTTGAATTGAACGATAGGGCAGGGATTAGAATAAATAAAATTTTTAATTCATTTATGATTGAAGCAGGGGACATGAGAATATCTCTTTTTTAGAAAATCATTGTAGAAACTACATTGACAAAATAAGGCGTTTACGGCTTGTGGAATAAGACACTTCTGCGATACAGAATTACTTCTTAAAGATGCAAGGTGAAAATGCAAACTTCTTTTATACAATGAATTTGGATGATGAGGGTCAGCTAAGGAATGTGTTTTGGGCTAATGCAAGGAGTAGAGCTGCATATGAGGAATTTGTTGATGTTATTACATTTGATACAACATATTAGACAAATAAGTATGACATGCCTTTTACTTTATTCGTAAGTGTTAATTATCATGGGCAGTCAACTTTGTTTGGATGTGATTTGATCTCCAATGAAGATATGAAAACTTTTAGTTGATTATTTCAATAATAGCTTGCATGTATGTCTGGAAAAACTCCACGTTCTATAATAACTGACCAGGACAAGGTCATAAAGAAAGTAGTTGAGAATATTTTCCCTAATACTAGGCATCAGTGGTGCCTATGGCACATCATGAAAAAATTGCATGAAAAGTTGAGAGGTTATAAGCAGTATGAATCCATCAAATTTTTCTTGCAAAGAATCGTTTATGATTCATTAAGTTGTACTGAATTTGAGAAAAGTTGGAATGAAATGATTGAGAAATGCATGCTACACAACAATGACTGGTTAAGTGAACTATACAGTGAGAGGCGTCGTTGGGTGCCAATCTTTGTGAAAGATACTTTTTGGGCGGAAATGTCTACCACACAATGAAAGGAGAGTATGAATTCATTCTTTGATGAGTATGTCAACTCTAAGACTACCTAAAAGTAATTCGTCGAACAATATGAAAATGCTTTGAAAAGTAAGGTGGAGAAGGAGATCGAGGAAGAATCTAAGTCTTTTTCTTCGCAAGTCCCTTGTGTAATTATGAAATGGAGAAACAAGTTCAAAAGGTTTACACCATCTCAAAATTTAAGGAGTTCCGAAGCGAATTGACAAGGTAGATGTACTATGATTTGACTTTGGTCAAAGTGGATGACTTGATTTCTGAATATGATGTATGTGAGGATATCATGACTAAAGAGAAAAGAAAGATTGCAAATTTCAAGGTTTTGTTTAATGAAAAGGATTGTGAAGTGAAATGCAATTGCCGCTTGTTTGAGTTTAGAGGAATATTGTGCAGGCATGCTATGGCAGTGTTAATCAGTAGAAAGATTTACTTATTTCCTGATAAATACATCGTACAGAGATAGAAGAAGGATGTGGAAAGATGTCACACAAAGATTAAAATTAGTTATGATTGTTGGAGTGCCACACCTGAAGCACAACGATTAGATAAAATGTGCAATGCTTTTAATGAGGTTGTAGACTTGGCAGTAGATTTTGAAGATAAGTGCACATGGATTGTATACACGATCTAAAGGAGAAATTACAGAAATAAAAAGGTGATTCTACAAGTTATGAACCAAGTCTTAACTCAACTGTCGATAAAAGCTCTGGTGGTGATATAAATGATATATCAAAGGAGATGAATATACTTACTCCATTAGCAATCTAAAGCAAAGGTCGTCCACCATTCAAAAGGAAGCAATCAAAAGTGGAGCAAGTTGCTAGGAGAAAGAAGGAAATGAAAAAAAAAAGACAGTATGTCATGGAAATTATACCACTAAATTAAAATTATTCACATTCTTTGTAACATTTTATTATTTATTATTTAATTTATATTTTGTATGATTCCCTCCAAACTAAAAGTGATGTCATTGGTCATATCGATGGTCAACCCACTAGTAAAATGGTTGACGTACTTGGAACACAAGAGAACATTGTTGTAATGGTATGACATAACAATCATTTTTGGAATTGTAATACATTTTTTTTAATGTATTGGTTAATTTCTTACTTGGAATTAATTGTAATGTAGGATTCGAAAACTATCCAAAGTGGTAATGTTGCCGAAAGTGATGGTCAATACTCCAATTTGCCTCTTTATAATGTAAGTTGTGAAAGTTTATTTGTAATTAATCTGTTGTAATTTTGTAATAATCTGTTTTAATTTTGTTATGACAGAACAATTTGGCCTTATTATGGGGAGTCACTCTAAGAGGTCATGAAAACCAATCATATGGGATGGAAAACTATTTCATGGTTAGAAATCTGACATTAGTTTTAGAAATTTTATATCTTTTTTGTTGTTTATACTATAATGTCAATTTATGAAATTTCTTGGTTTTTTTGGTTTAGAATAACCAATATCATCCTTAGAATGGTGAATATGACATGCAACATATGCCCTCTTTTAGCTCAAAAGAAACAGTAAACAATCCAGAATTGCCAGTTTCGCCTTCAATATCACCGTCAAATGGCAATTAGATTTGGTAAGTTGGAAAGAATTCTATAAAAAGATTTTGTCATTTATTCAAGAGTTGAGTTTTTATTTTTTTTTTCCTATGACAGGAATGTAACGGAGGAACCCTTCGTCAAGATGTGCAAGACAAAAATTGTAGTATTTTGTGTCCTTGTGTTATCCAAAATTGAGTTGTTCTATTATTTTTGGATACTCATGATTTTATAATAGGACTTAAGGGTTGGATTTTACAGCGACAATTTTATTTTATACAATTGTTCAATTAATTATTTGTTGAAATTTTTTTTGTTTCAAACATGTGATCTTTGGCAAATAGAGCAGTTCAAGATGGTTTTCCATCTTAGTTCATTGGCTCTGATCAGCTACCCGTTGCTGTGAGCAGCGATTAGTTCAGGATCAGAAAGGCTCACCGGTTCTGCGTACTAAGAGTACTCTGATTTTTTATGATCATGATTGACAGCTAACTCTGAAGCTGGGTGTGTGTATCTAGTGTAACAGGGGAGGATTGGGTGATTTGTTTGTTGTTGACTGTAGGATAGTGTTGCTGGCTTTGATGAAGGGTTTTTGAATGGGCTTTCTGGAAGTGAGGTCTACCTCACCAATATCAATGAAGGGGTTTTGTTTGGATGGTCTGATTGAAAAATAATCACAAGCTGGGCACAGAGAGAGCTACATAAAGTAGTTAAAAATGGCTTAAGTCCTTTTCAAAGATTAAAGTCATCATTTGTATTGTTTGGTAATTGTTTTTGTCTTTGTTTTTGTGTTTTTGTTTTCAACTTTTGTCAAAAATGAAAACAAAAATATGTTTGGTAACTATTTTTGGTTTTGTTTTGTTTTCGTTGTATTGGAGACAAAGACAAAAAAATGGAAACAAAAAAAAGATGTTTCAAGAAACACCCAAAACAAAGACAACACGCGCATAAATGGGTGGGAATTAATGAGATCCGGACTTCGACTCCTCTTAACAACAAAACACGCATTTTTTTGGTTGAACTATAAAAACCCATTTCCCCACTCTCTCCTCCCCATCGCTTACCCCTGTCTCTCTCCTCTCTTCCTCATCTCTTCTTTCTGCATTGCTGCCTCCAGATGAGGTGGGTTTCGACTCCCTCATCGTTGCCTCCAGACGGTGTGAAACCCACCTCCATCGCTACCTCCATCTCTCTCTCCTCTCTCCTCTCCCTATTCTCTTTGAAACCCAGAATCGCCATCGCTACCTCCAGATGAGGTGGGTTTCGACTCCCTCATCGCTGTCTCCAGAAGGTGCGAAACCCACCTCCATCGCTACCTCCATCTCTCTCTCCTCTCTCCCTATTCTCTGTGAAACCCAGAATTTGTGCATATATATGCACAGTTCTCTACATATATACACAGACCTGTGTATATATATGCACAGATATCTATCGCGTGTGTGTGATTGGCCATTTGGGATTGTTGAATTTGGGATTAAATTGTCATTTAGGATTAGATCTGTGTATATATCATTTGGGATTAATTGTCATTTGTAACTAATTGAATTACCATTTGGGATTGATGAATTGTCATTTGGAATTTAATTACCAAATAGATATCAAACATATTTAGGATAAAATTTGAAGAAGTTACCAAACATATTTTTTTTTTTATTCTCATAATTTGATATACAAAAATGACTCCCAAACATGTTTTTTGTTTTGGTGTTTATCACAAAACAAAGACAAAAAATTATCTCTGTTTTTAATTTTTTGAAGATGCAAAAATAAAAACGTTACCAAACGCAATTTTTTCAAATGATGTTTTTTCAATTTTTCAAATGATTATTTCCTTTTACTTGATCTCTTATCTTCCATTCTATTGTTTATACCTAGTCTCTACAATTCGCTTATCATTCAAAGGCTACTTTAGTCGAACATACAAAAAAAGTTCAATTATATTTTTTTTTCAAACAAATCAACATTTTATTTCATGAAAAAAGAATTATAGTCATGAAAAAGACAGACAGGCCTGCCTATACAAACTCGAGCCAGAAAAAATTACAAGAATCAAACAATGACAATTTCATTGCGCAAAACTTTGAATCCTTGTTGATCTTGAAGTAATATCTCCTTCGCCTGTGAGGGAATGTCAAGCAAATGGGAAAAATAAGTGGAACAACCTTGCTGCACAGCTACATTAGCAAAGAAATCGGTCATAACCTGAATAGTACCACACAATTACACGGCCCCCAACTTGCAAGTTCAAAAGCACAAACTGAATAAGAAAACATAGTCATTTTTTTTATTACTATTCCACTACCAAATTGAATAAGTTTACAGACAAAATACAATCTCAAATAAGTTCACAAAGGCAAAAGCTATGTAATTGTCTCCCAAGTTGAATGAGTACACAAAATGTGTACAATTCACAAATCATTTCTTCTAAGGCAGTGACTGAATTGTGCATAACAAATCAGCTTCACTATCGTGTCTCGTTGATGAAGTATAAATGTCCAAAACCAAATGACTTCTGCTAGACAATTCGTCGAACAGCTTGTGAACGCAATTCAATCTAGCTTTCCCCTCCTTACTCAATTGTAGATTCACTTTCACGTCAATGAATTCACAAATAAGACATCCTAAACCAATAAAAATAATTAATTAATAATTAGTAAAAAATTTGGGCTTGAGAAATATAAGTATGTTGTAACACTAAAGCAACAAAGAAAAAAAACATATGGAGAGAAGTAAAAATGTATGGGCTCCCGCAACTAGCAATGTCACTCCGAAGACTACGAGTGTCTCTAGCAACTATGATTTCGACGAATAGATGAATTGGGGAGTAGAATTGCTAGGGACTAGGGGAGAGGAGAGAAAAATTTGACTGTGTCCTTGCTTCGGCATATATTCGTTGTAAGACGACTGTGTTTGTGGCCAGCGTCGATTGCCGGAGTTGTGAAATTCCAGCGGCAATCAGGGCATGTTTTGTGGGCGAGTTTTGGCGTAGGGAAGGGGAGGGTTACAGGGAGGGAAGATGGAAGATGGAAGGGTTGGGTCTGGAGAGAATAAAATCTGATCTTTCATCTTTATATTTCATTAAAATTTGTTTTTTTTTTTTGGGAAAGAAACTGATGACATTGTTAGTACACATTAGCGGTCACATCATCAAATCTAAATTTTAAGTCTGTCTAGCATTACTCTATATGAAATACACTTCTAATCCAATGACTATATTACATTAGGTCCCTAAATTAAATCTCAATAGTATTTTTTAAATAAACAAAATAGGTAATGGTAAAATTGAAAAAAATTGAGGACATGCTCTCCCTGGTCCTTGAATGGCTCCGCCACTTGTTATTATGTTGCATGAAAGGAGAGTCAACAGACTCTAGTCTTTACCAATTTGGAAAAAAAAAAAGAGAAACAAGCTGACAAAGGCAAAGAGATAGCCTCCACTATTGAAGTTATCAAAGAAAAGGAATGTGACAAGGTAGATCAAAGAAGTGTTGATCAAGGAAGCACAAGCAACCAAGTGGTGGTTAGTGAAACTACAACTCCTATCACAGAGATTCACAACACCACCCCTACTCCTCAAGTAACTACAAACATCACTACCAGCAACAAATTTGATAATCTTGTTATAGAACTGCAAGGTCCTGTGCTGTTAGATTTGGAAAAATCAGCTTCTCTTGAAACAAGTGTACTGGCTACAAAAATTAAGAACATTGATGGTATACCAATTGGGAAACTAAGGAAAAAAACACAAGTCACTAAATAGAGGTAAAAGGGGGATTTCTACATCCCAAGGCCACCATCCACCAAGACATAAATGATTAATTTTGCCTGTTGAAATATTAGGGGATTGAACTCTCCCCCTAAACAATTGGAGGTTCAAAATTTTATTTTTGAACAGCAACTGGATTTGGTTGGAATAATTGAGACCAAAGTCAGAGCTTTTAATAAGGGTAGCATTATGAGAGTTGTCTTTAGAGATTGGGACTATTTTGATAGTTATTTCAGTCATATTCTTGGTAGGATTTGGGTTGGTTGGAACCCAAATATCCTGAAGATAACCAAGATAGAAGAAATGGATCAGGTTGTACACTGTGAGGTTCAACATCCAGAAAGTAGGATTGTGTTCCTAGTTTCTTTCATATATGGGGCCAATGATGACAGAGAAAGGAGGAGGCTATGAAGAAATCTAGAGTATCATGCTAGAAACAATATCTCTAGACCATGGGCAGTTTTGGGAGATTTCAATGTGGTAAGAACTCTGCAAGAAATTGAAGGGGGGAGCAACAGAAGAACAAAGGCCGTGGAAGAATTTGAAGAATGTATTCAAAATTTTGGAATTGATGATCTGAGCTTCTCAGGAGTTCTCTTCACTTGGTGTAACAGGAGAGACCCTCAAGATTGCACAGTCAAAAAACTTGACAGGGTCATGGTAAATGATGAGTGGAATATGCTATTTACAAGATCGTTAGCTAAATTTATTACCTCTAATGTTTCATATCATAGCTCTGCCATTGTCAAGTTGGGAGAGGGAGCAAGTCCAAGGAAATGTCCATTCAAGTTTTTCAATTTTATGGCTGAAAGAAGGGATTTTCTTGATATTGTCAATAATGTGTGGCAAACCAATGTGAGGGGAACAAAGCAATTCCAAGTAAGCCAAAAGCTCAAATTGTTGAATTATGAATTCAAGAAAATCAACTAAAAGTTGGTGATGTTACTGCTAGAGCTAATGAAGCAAGAAATGCACTAGCTGAATGCCGGAGGAAACTTGATGAAGAGCCCTTGGACCATGACCTTAGGACTCAAGAGAAGGAGTTGATTAGGAAATTCTTTGAGGCAATCAAAATTGAAGAAGAATTCTTAGGACAAAAATCCAGAATTCAATGGCTCAAAGCTGGTGATCAAAACACTTCTTTTTTCTTCAAAGCCATCACAATCAATAGGAATAAGTCTAGGATAACTACTATCAAAAGACTGGATGGAACAATGGTTGAAGGGGACTTGCAAATCAAAGAAGAAGTAGTCCATTATTTCCAGAATTTGTTTAGAAGCAACGGTCATCAGTCTACTGCTAGGCAAGCAACAATTTGAGACCTTATTCAGCACACTATCACAGAGGATCAAGCTAGAATGCTATGCAAGGAGATTGCAGGAGCTGAAATTAAAGAGGTATGTTTTTCTCTCCAAGCTAATAAAGCCCCTGGTCTAGATGGATTTAATGGATGTTTCTTTCAGAAGGCTTGTCCAATTATTGGGGAAGAGATTATTTTTGCTATTCAGGAATTCTTTATCACTTGTGAAATGCTCAAGAAAATCAACTCTACAATCATCTCACTTATTCCAAAGGTGCCAAACCCCACTACAATGAGTGACTGCTGGCCAATTTCTTGTTGCAACACCCTTTATAAGATTATTTCAAAGATTATTGCCAATAAAATTAAGCCATTTCTGCCTGGGCTTATTAGTCATTTCCAATCTGGTTTTATAGCTGAAATGCTGAAGGTTTTGTTCAAGAGTAATTGAAACGGTGCCATTTAATGAGCAAAAAACAAACCGAGTGCAAAACGACGTGGTTTTGGGCAAACAGCAGCCCCCGCTGTTCTTATGGAAAAGCAGAGGAGCCGGATCCTGATTTTCGAAGCCATGCCT